CCGCCCCCTCCACCGCGGCCCCAGAGACCAGGGCCAGCAGGCTCCCCCGCCTGGTTCAGGGATCAGTGCCTCCTTGAGAAAAGTCACCAATGCCCCACTGCTTCTGCAGGGATCGCGGGACCGCAGGACAGGGAGGAGCAGGGGCCAGCCCTGGACACTCTTCTGAACCTGAGAATCCAGGTGGACCCTGCCTGGGATTCTCTCCTTCAGGACCCTGGCAAAGGTCTGCAGAGCCAGGGCGGTGACCCAGGGAGAACTTCAGCAGAGCCCACATCTCGTATGGGCTCCTGCTCGGCTCCTCACTGCTCATTCCCCTGTCCCTAAGCCCCCACCCTTTGCTTTCCCACTAATCAAACTACCCAGGGTTAAGATGTCTTGTTAAGTAGATTCTCTTAGGTAGATTCTTGTTCTTGTTAAGTAGATTCTGGTGTCTGTGCGTAGTGTTTTTCTCACAGTGACTTTTCATTTCTCACTATCCCAAAGTATGTTTCCATTCTTGTGGGTTAACAGAGTTCCCGAGACCTCGGGGATGCCCGGGAACACAGGCCAGTGACTTGGAGCCAATGCCTACTACTGTACCTCATTTTTACTTCTTACAAGAAACATAAACGTAAAGAGGATGTTAAAAGGCAGAAGAAACGAGGGTAGTTATCCCCAGAGCCTGTGTGGCCACCAATCCCAGAGAGGACAGCTAGCCTGAGAAGAAGCCCTGGGTGCACATGGAAGAGCTCATAGCAACAGCAGGAGCTCCCTGCTGATGGTGTCATTATATAATCTTCTCAGAGAGCAGTTTGGCAATAAAGTCCTAAAAAATTCTATTTATTGATTTAATCTGTAACCTGTATTCACAAAGGTGTTTGTTGTAAGTTCCTCTACAATAACAAAAAAATTACAAAATGTACAATCATAGGAAAAAGACTAAGTATGCAATATTCACATGATTCACCATATTACAGATATTAAAAATGCCTACAAATAGTTTCAATGACAAAAGAAGCTTAGGATAAGTTAAAAAAAAAAAAAAGGCTGCATACTTGTACATCCCAGATGAGCTCAACTCCAAAACAATAATATATGTGGGGAGAGAAATAACACCAAAACAATAATAATAATTGTGGTGATCTCTCAATAGCTGACAGTAATTTTAATTCCCTTCACTATACTTTTAACACTGAAAAAATTTTCCATGATGAGCATGCATTATTTTTAAATTAAGAAACGTTTATTATTTTAAAACCACAGCTTTTCTTTTCAGACTCCTCCACAATAACAATAAGGCAGGACCAATATGGACTCAATGAAGAATTTTGCTGCTCAAAATAAGTGGAACAAAGATGTCAGAAACTGGATGGAAATACTCCTCCTGAAATAGACTTACAGCAACAACAAAAGTCATCAATTAAGTCAAAGCAGACCAAGAAAAACAGGAGAGGATCAAAATGGAACTACAGCAGACTAACTAAGTTCATTGTTAGAAGCAGGTTACTAAAAAAACAAACAAAAGACTTGACAGTAACAAAAATTAAATCATGAAACAGGACACTGCATCCAGCAAAATGGCCGGATACAGAGCAAGGATGAAGAGAACACTCACGAGAAACAACCACATGCTGGACGTGGTCCAAGCGCTTTTTGCCTCATAACAGCACTCACCAGCTTCTGCCATCACCTCTCTGTTCTAGATGAAGACCTGAGACATTACCTCGTGGGGAAACGATCTACCAAGGCCGGGATAGGGTCCTGAGCCTTGGGCTCACTACAAGGTAGGGAGCTACATGAGGGTTCCTACTAAGCTGCTCTCTTCAAAGAGAGCTAAAGTGAGCCCAGACTGGTAGTGCCCTGGGCTTCCGGGAAAGCAGATGGAATGACACAGCATCCCTCATCTGGTCCTACAGATTGGGCAGCCCATCTCAACTTGAAGAGAATTTCAGCCCTACAGACATCCATGCTACAGAAAGAATTTCTCTCCTATACATTCAGAAGAGCACTAGCTACATGCCACCCTTGAGAGAACTGAAAAAGCAGTCCATCAATTCATTTTCTATAGGGCTTCATTATCTCACAAAACCCCAGCCAAGAAATGGTGGATTAAGGTCAGTCATATATGAACTCAAAATAAAAAATACCACCAAACAGACCAGGAAGCAAGGTCACCATGAATGAAAGACAGCAGAAATAAGTAATTGGTTTACACCTCCCACAGACTTCAGATACAAGAATTAAAAAGAAAAAAATTTAGATGGAGAATATAAAGTAGCTAAGTGTAAATATGTAAATCAATAAAAAATTAATCTTAAAGAAATGAACGAACAATAGAAGTCTATAAAATTAACCCAGCATTTCCATGACCTGTGACAGAGAAACTTAAAATGGACTCATCCTCCCACTGAAAACAACCATAAAAACTGAACAAAATATATAATGTAAGTGTTTAAAGGCACAACAAGTCACAATCCTTGGAGGAAGGGAAGCACAGAGGTGACCCCATATTCCCCCAAGATCTTCCCCTAAGGCCATGTACCTATTTGTAGTGCAAGGAAACAGAACCCAGTAGAAAGCAACACTCTTACAGGGAGGAAGAGAAAAAGACTGGAGTTTGGGAACGACAAAGTGTCTGGGAATGAGGGGCAAAATCTCAGAGTGAAGTGCAGGGGAGACGTGAGTCACTCCACCAGCCCCAGTTAATCCCGCCCGCCCCCCCAACTGCTGCATATGTGCAAGAGGAGTCTGGCCTCCACTGGAGGAAAACGCCCTGAAGGAAGCTCTTGTCAAAGAAGAGGGCAAGGCTGAAGGCTTGATGCCAGATGTCAATGCCAACAGAGATTTAATTCTGCTGGCACTCAATTTTATTAGGGTTGTTCCTGTTTGTGTTAGTGTTCTAGTTACAGAGTTGCACAGATGTGGAATCACAATGTCATTCCTATGCTTTTTTCTTCTTTGCTTCTTTACCCTACTATAAGGCCTATTATTTCCAGGGCATGGCATTTTCAGGAATGCACACATCATGTTGTAGCAGGAATGTCTGTAGTTAAGAAAGACAGAAAATGATATTAATCAGAAACTCAAGAAATAATAAGTGTTGGGGAGGATGTGGAGAGAAAGGAACCCTCTTGCACTGTTGGTAGGAATGCAAACTGGTGCAGCCACTGTGGAAAACAGTATGGAGTTTCCGCAAAAAAATTAAAAATAGAATTACCACATGATCCAGTGATTCCACTACTGAGTATTTACCCAAAGAATAGGAAAACACTAATCAAAAAGATACATGCACCACTGTGTTTACTGCAGCATTATTTACAATAGCCAAAATATGGAAGCAACACAAGTATGCAGTGATAGATGAATGGATAAAGAAGATGTGATATATATATATATATATATACACACAATAGAATATTACTCAGTATTAAAAAGAATGAAATCTTGCCATTTGCAACAATATGGATGGATATAGAGAGGATTATGCTAAGTGAAATAAGTAAATCCAAGAAAGACAAATACCACATGATTTCATTCATATGTAGAATTTAAGAAACAAAACATTTGAACAAACAAATTAAAAAGAGACAAACAAAAAAACAGACACTTATATACAGAGAAGAAACTGCTGGTTGCCAAAGGGGAGGTAGGTGGGGGAACGTGTGAAATAGGTGAAGGCAATCAAGAGTCCACTTATCATGAGGAGCACTGAGTGATGTATAGAATTGCTGAATCAGGGCCACCTGGGTGGCTCAGTCAGTGAAGCGTCTGCCTTCGGCTCAGGTCATGATCTCAGGGTCCTGGGATCAAGCCCCACATCGGGCTCCCTGCTCAGCAGGGAGTCTGCTTCTCTCTCTCCCTCTGCCTCTACCCACCCCTGCTCATGCTCTCTCTCTTTCCTCTCAAATAAATAAAAAGAGAAATCTTTAAAAAAAAAAAGAATTGCTGAATCACTATATTGTACACCTGAAACTAATATAACACTGCATGTTAATTATACTGCAATGAAAAAAGAAATAAAATGATATAAAAAAAGATCTAACATGCAATATAAAAAGGAAAGCCAAGAAACTGATAAATCTAAATAAACATGATCTCTATAAAGTCAAAACAATAGGGGCGCCTGGGTGGCTCAGTTGGTTAGACGACTGCCTTCGGCTCAGGTCATGATCCTGGAGTCCCGGGATCGAGTCCCGCATCGGGCTCCCTGCTCGGCGGGGAGTCTGCTTCTCCCTCTGACCCTCCCCCATCTCATGCTCTCTCTCTCTCGCTCTCTCATTCTCTCTCTCTCAAATAAATAAATAAAATCTTTAAAAAAAAAAGTCAAAACAATAATAATAACTACTTTGTAAGGTTAGAAAAGGGACTACAATGCTGTCCTACGAAGGAAGTTGGGAGAAATGTGATTGCAACAGGTGCATAGCCTTGCTCAAAGGGGAACTTAGAGTAAAAAATAACTACAGACTTTGTTACGCATGCACAATAGCCATTACAAGGGTAACCACTAAAAAAAAATAAAACAGAAATAGAGTTCATAGCTTTTAAACTAGTAGAGGGAAAAATGTGATACGTAAGCAAATAAACAACCAATTATTCAATATTTCTAAAAGGAAGCAAAGAAGAAAAAAGCATAGGAAAAATGGAAAAAATGTCACAACCTAAAATGGATGAAGCAGTAAAAAGGTAAAATAAAACAGATGAAGCAAGTCCAAGTAAACTAATACAATAAATACAAGTCCACTCAACCTGGTTGTTAGCTGACATAGATTATTCAGCTGGATTTTTAAAACATACAGTTATCTGCAGTTTCCAAGAGACATGCCTAAAATATAAGGCCACATAAAGGTTGCAAGTCAAATGATGGAAAAAGATACAGCTGCCAAATGTTTCTTTTTTTTAAAAAAAAAGAAGAAGTTCAGTACTCTATCCGCATCAGAAAAATACGCTTTAAGAAAAAATCATTATTAGAGTGACAGAGGGTCAGTACAAGAGGACAAGAGGCTCAGACCTTGTGAGACGTAAGGGTTCACACACATATAAAAAACCCCAAATACAGAAATCAATATACATCTTCATAGAAGTTTTGGGTTTTTTAATGAAGAAATAAAACAAAAATCCCCACAAAAGAGGTTCAGAAACATAGAGCTACTATTGTATAAACATATACAGCAGTACTTGGTCATCTGTTAAGACTGTTTTCTATAATGAGCTGCATGTTTCAAACTATTCGAAGAACTGACAAATCTAAAAAAAGAAAGATTTCAATGCACCTCACTCAATTATCAATGGCTCAGTCAGTCAAAATATTAGTGAATATACAGCATACTTAGCAATACAACTAAAAACTTGATTTAGCAAATATAAAAAGACCAGTGATTAACTGAACATAATAAAAAAATAAATAAAATTTTTTAAAAAGGCCAGTGTTCCCCAAATTAGAGAAAACATATTCCTCTTTTCTTTTTCAAAGATGTATTTATTTATTTGAGAGAGAGAGAAAGCATGAGTGAGAGGGGCAAATGGAGAGGGAAAGAGAATCTCAAGCAGACTCCACACCAAGTGCAGAATCTGACATGGGGCTTGATCTCACACCTCTGAGATCACAACCTGAGCTGAAATGAAGAGTTGGAAGCTTAACTGATTGCACCACTCAGGTACCCCAAAAACATATTCCTCTTAAGCACATGTGGAAACATTTACAAAAGTTGACCATGTGCCAAGCCATAAAGAAATTATAAATATATCTCAAAGGAAACCATCATACAGGTCATGTTCTCTAACCACAGTGCAATTAAGTTAGAAATTAAGGCAGTAATCCGAAACAAAAAGATTAATTAAGATTTAAATTTTTTGATTGGAAATTAAAAAACAGACTTTAAAGAGTTCGGGGCGCCTGGGTGGCTCAGTCGTTAAGCGTCTGCCTTCGGCTCAGGTCATGATCCCAGGGTCCTGGGATCGAGTCCCACATCGGGCTCCCTGCTCCGCGGGAGGCCTGCTTCTCCCTCTCCCACTCCCGCTGCTTGTGTTCCCTCTCTCGCTGTCAAAAAATAAAATCTTTAAAAAAAAAAAAAAAAAGGAGTTAATCGGTCAAAAATTATGTATTTATAGGCAGTATAACTGTGTCTACATAGAAAACAAAATAATCTACAGAGAAATTATTTAGGGTAACAAGAAAGTTTACTTGGCAACTCTGACTGCAAACAAACCCAACATACTTAAAAATATAATTTTTTAAACAATATCATTTAAAAAACAGAACAAGCAACATAACAAAGACAAAAAAAGGAATTTTAGGGCAGTGAAACTACTCTCTTTGATACTATAAAGGTAGATGTATGTCATTATTATATTTGTCCAAACCCTTACAACATAAAACACCAAGAGTGAACTCCAATATAATCTATGAACTTTGGGTGTAGGCTCATTGACTGTAACAAATATATCACTTTAGTGGGGGGGTTGCTTATAGCAAGGGAGGTTGTATATGTGCATGGGCAGTGAGTATATAGCAAATCTATACTTTCTGCTTAATTTTACTGTGAACCCAAAACTGCTCTTAAAAAAACCCAAAAAGATAAACTGTTTGTATAAGGGGAAAGAGATATAAATACAAAATCAAAGAAGATAAAAATCCTATAATCTTACATTTGAATGACAAATGCCAAAAGAATACATGATATATTCTTC